GGCTCCCGCTCCCGGAGCGTCGGGCGCCTCCCGCGTGCGCAGGACGTGGCGGACTCGCTCCGAGTGGGGCTGGGTGGGCCTTGAACTCCTTCCTTCCAGTCTCCGAATCCCGGACCCCCTGCTCTCTCTCTCCCCACAGCCCTTTGGTTTTCCTTACCTTCTCATGCCCTAGCCTAGGATCTCCACTGAACGCCAGGTCTGGGGCAATTTCCAAATGTAGGAAATAAATAAGGGGGGGCAGCCGGATGCACCCCAAACACCTCTGAGGGCCCCTGGCCACCTCCCTCCAGCTGGCTGAGCGCCTCACTTTACCAGACACCTGGGGTTCGCTCCGCCTCCATAGCTCCGGGTGCCTCCCTCCAGGTGCCCTCCCTGCCTCGCTGGTGTTTGTTTCCAGCCAGGAGTGCCCTGTCCCGAGCAGAACCCCAGAGCAGGTCAGGGGAAGCCACAGGCCCTTTGGGGTTCCCGTTTCCCCCTCTTCCTGAGATCCCGGCGGGAGGATAGGAATAAGCCCAGGACCCAAAGACGAAGGGTCTTCGGCATTGTCACAGGTTCATGGCAGGAAGTTCTTAGCGAATTGTTTGTGGTGGGAGGAGCCCCGGGGCCATCCCCAGCCACCCCACCGAGGCCCCGCCAGCTCTGGCGCTGCACTGCATTCCGTCAAAATGAGTCTAAACTTCCAACTTGGTTTTGGCTACAAGGAGGGTAACAGAGCGGGGACATGGAGAGAGACCAAGCCTTAATGACTTCATTTGAAACCTTGGATCCAGCCATGCCCAGAGCAAGATCTGCTTCCTGAACTTCTTGGTTATGTAAGCAAGCTAATAAATTCCTTTTTTTTTGCTTAGTCAGTCAGTCGAAGTTAGACTTTCTGTCTCTTGCAACTCGTGAGTTCTGACCTCCTAGTAATGGCTTCTGTTTTTAAGTCTTTTGGTGATTATCACTTTGTCAGTAATGCTACTTAGAGTGAGGGGATTCTGCCCATGTACCAGTAGGAACCCTATGAAGACCTCCCTCTACACACCCCCTCTGATAACTCTCAGCTATAGGTGAGGAACTTTATTTATTTTTTCTTTTATTAATCCTCACCTGAGGATATTTTCCATTGATTTTTAGAGAGAGTGGAAGTGCGGGGGAGAGACAGAGAGTAACATTGATGTGAGAGAGACACGCAGATTGGTTGCCTCCCACAGGAGCCCTGACCAGGGCCTGCAACCGAGGCATGTGCCCTTGACCGGAATCAAAACCCGGACCCTTCAGTCTGCAGGCCGATGCTCTATCCACTGAGCAAAATCTGCTAGGGCAGCAGTTCTCAACCTGTGGGTCTCGACTCCTTTGCCGGTCGAACGACCCTTTCATAGGGGTCGCCTAAGACCATCCTGCATATCAGATATTTACATTACGATTCATAACAGTAGCAACATTACAGTTATGAAGTAGCAACGAAAATAATTTTATGGTTGGGTCACAACATGAGGAACTGTATTTAAAGGGCCAGAATGTTGAGAACCACTGTGCTAGGGCTCCATTTGTTTTTTATTTTTTTAGAGACAGTGGAAGGGAGGGGAAGAGACTGAAAGAGAGAATATTGATGTGAGACACATCAATTGGTTGCCTCCTGCACGTGCCCCAATCGGGCCAGGATCCAGCCTGCAACCGAGGCACGTGTCCTTGACCAGGATCAAACCTGGGACCCTTCAGTCCATGGGCTGATACTCTAACCATTGAGCAAATCTGGCCAGGGCTGGGTGAGGAACTTTAAGTGGGCTCTGCTGAGCTCTTGGCAGAGAATTTGAGGACAAATTTCTGGAAAAGAGCCTCAGAGCCAAGAGCAATGCAACAAGTCCCAGAAACAGTCTGCTTTCCAGGAACAATCAATGGCTTTGCTGGCCTCCCCTGCTCTCCAAAAAAACCAGTGGAGGATTGAATTTCTCAGCCCTGGAAGCTGGGAAAGGCAAGCCAGAGGGGCAGAGAGACCTGCTGGAGGAAGCAGGTGAATCTCTGACTGAAAAATGTGTAAAGCGCAAACAAAAAAGATTTCCCTGAACTAGAAAATCAGAACCCCAAATTTCCATAGATAAATCAAAGGAGAGGATGTACTGCTAAAACCCGAAAATGGGTCTAGAAAATTAAAGATGAAGCATCTCAAAATGTAACAGGTCTAGAAAATTAAAATGAAGTATCTCAAAAATATGGAGATGCAAATCATGTGGTTAAAGATGGGAGATTGGAACAGACCCAAGAGACTTAACTCAAGTTCTATGAGTTCCTGCAGAGTAAGGAACAGGAGGGGAGAGGTCATCATTAAATAGTAGATTCAATTTCCCTGAGCGAAACAAAGACTTAAGTTCCAGACTGGACTGATAGGAAAAGACACACACTTAGCCATATGAAGGTTAAAAATCATAAGCTCCTAAGGATATGGGAAAGCTTGGCACATTTTCAGGCAAAAAGCAAGTTCTTTTTTCTTACCTGCTACCCTGGAAGTTAAAAGACAAAAAAATTGAATGTGAGTTAATGAAAGAAAAGGCCTGTAACCCAGACCCAGCCAAAGAAGAAAGATAGATATTAAAGATTTGCAAAAGTCACCAAGTATCTCATCTAAGACATACTTTTTATTATTATTATTATTACTTTTTCATCCTCACCCGAGGATATTATTCCATTGATTTTTTAGAGAGAATGGAAGAGAGAGGTAAAGACAGAGAGAAATATCGATGTGAGAGAAACACATTGATTGGTTGCCTCCTGCATGCGCTGACCAGGGCCCAGGCCAGGGAGGAGCCTGCAACCCAGGTACAGTACCTGCCCTTGACCTGAATCAAACCTGGGAGCCCAGCACCATTCAGTCCGCAGGCCTGTGCTCTATTCACTGACCCAAACCAGCTAGGGTTTCCATTGACTTTTAGAGAGAGTAAAAGGGAGGGGTAAAGACAGAAACATTGATGTGAGAGTGCCAAACGGGCTAGGCTGAGAAATACTTTTTTTTAAAAATATATTTTATTGATTTTTTACAAAGAGGAAGGGAGAGAGATAGAGAGTTAGAAACATCGATCAGCTGCCTCCTGCACATCTCCTACTGGGGATGTGCCCACAACCAAGGTACATGTCCTTGACCAGAATCGAACCTGGGACCTTTCAGTCCACAGGCCGACGCTCTATCCACTGAGCCAAACCGGTTTCGGCTGATAAATACTTTTAAGACATTAATGAGCCCTGGCTGGGCGGCCCAGTTGGTTGCAGCATCGTCCTGTACACCATAAGGTTGTGGGTTTGATTCCCGGTGATGTCATATACTTGGATTACAAATTCAATCTCTGGTCAGGGTGTGTAGGAGAGGCAACGGATCAATGTTTCTCTCTCTCTCTCTCTTTCTCTCTCTCTCTCTCTCATCCTTTCTCTCTAAAATCAATAAAAACATATCCTCAAGTGAGGATTTGAAAATAAAAAATAATTAATGAAGCAACAAGTGAATCAGAACAGAGACTTGAACATAGGGGAAGATGAAGAGGAAAAAAAGCAGTGAGGACCAATGAACTATGAACTATAATTTCTATCTATAGCCCTACATATTTATAACATGTAATATAAATGCTAAATAAGTTCTCTTGGAACAGATGGGGCACACTGTAAGGGAAATTCTAATAAGTATTAAATTATCTCAATGAAACTGGAATCAGCTGGTGAGTAGAAGGGGAAGGTAAGTGTTCCAAGACCTCAGGTAGGGAGGATGAGCAAAGATGGGGGAAGGGTAGTGAAAGTAATTTAAGACCATATATATTAGGGTGGGGAGGAAGTAGAAGATAAATAGAGCATGGTGGAAATAGTTGTTGTTCTGTGAAATAGTACAGTTCACATACGAGAAGAGTCATGTGT